GAATATGATTGCTGTAGTGCTCTGTACAGAACTCAGCTGTACATTCTTAAATATCTTCTTTAGATCTTGTTATTTTAAATTCATCCTATGAGCCCTACTGCTATGGTGCCTTGTTTATTGGTGTTAGGTAGGACATATATTGACCATGGAGTATAGGGGGTCTTAAAGCTATTCATCCTGGGGATGTTAGACTATGGGTAAAAAGTTCTACCCTAGATAATCACAGAAAGAGGCTTCAAGGTTGTGGGTTCCTTTGAAGAGTCAGAACTGGGCTTCAGGCCAGTGAACAGTGTCCAGAGGAGATGAAGGCTCAGAGTAAGTTGTGCTGAGATAATATTTTTCCAAGTAAGATTCAAGTATTGATACAGAATTGAAAATATTGGAATATGAGTCCTTGGCGTATCATCCTGGCTCCTGCATGATCTCACTGGAACTTTTAATCCATTGAGACCTCCGTCTGACCTCTTATTTACAGCCATTTTAAGGAGAGCAGATATACTTTCCTTTAGTTCACATTTGAATGACTTGCATCTAGTTTTACGTATGATGGATGTGTAAGAAGGCATCCTACTAATGAGAACGGGACAAAGCCACCTATATTGTGACAGTTTTGTACCACAGAAAGGCATGGCTTCAGTAGAGAGTTGGTCTTTCTAGCTAATTCCTTTGTTTAACTTTTGTAATCACAGCTTACCCTCAAACACAATCATCATTTTTATTAAACTCCATTTGATATGACACTGACTTAGAACCTGTCATTGTATAATACTCAGCCCATTTGATTTTGCCTAGCTGAATTTTTCACCCTTGTGGGAATCATGGGAAAGTCTATTATTTCAGGGGGCAACATATCTTATTTTACTTTCTCAGCAGAGTAATTGGCAGTGGTGTCTTACTACAAATGTCCAGACAAGTCTTTTATCAAATCAGTTAATCATCCATTTGTGTATATGTGTTTGTAGAAAATATTATATTGTTTTCTGAGTGAAATAATAGTCTGGATTCAGTGTGTCTACTGAGACAAAAGACCTAGGAAGATTTTAATACATCACAATACGTCTAGCACCCAGCTGATTCTCATGTGAATCCTAGCTCTTGGGAAGTTGAGGCAGGAGAGAGAGCCTGTGGCTGAATTCTGTTTCCTCTTACTCTCCAGGAGCCTTTTTATCTCTCTCAAGTTCCAGCTCTGGAGATAGTAGTCTCCTCACCAACAGAGTGGGTGGGAGAACATGCCTCCCAATGATGGTATATGTGTGATATTCACCAAAGCAAACAATTAGAACGTGCTTATATATACACTTTGCTCAGAACGCTGACCACCAGAATTCTGAGAAACAACTCACAGCCAGAACAATCTACCAATTTCAAAATGTTTCTACTTGAGAAGGGGATCTCTTTTTCTGATTCACAAAAAATATCATATGAACTCTGAGTGACCATAGAACAAATTATAATTTAGTTCTATGATGTGCAGACCTTAGCAAAGGCACAACTGTGATGAATTGTACTTTTGGCTCTTTGCAGCAAGGATGTGTGTTCAATTCAGTTTCCAAGGACAGAAGGTTTAGAGATGAGTCTAGTAGTGCCTCTAAGGAGTCATGAAACCTACTAACAGACCACTTGTGAGAATAAGCAGAGAACAAGTGGACTTGGTTTACTTCAGCCAGAGCCCGCCACTTTTACTACCCTCAATACTGGCATGTGTGATGTACAAGTCTGAAGCAGAGCTTTAAGTTGTCTTTTAAAATACTTTCTTCATCCCAGGACTGAAGCAGGTGATCAGAGAGCTGTGTACTCAAAGTTCATTGCTTGGCTCCTTCTAGAATAAGTTTTACTAATTTATACTATACCACTGTACCCTTGGTATATTCTGGGAATGCCAAGAGACTGCCTCAAATGCTACTACCTACTGTTGTTCTATTTGATGAAGTGGTGTTCAGCATCACCTATATTTATGAGGAGCACTGGGTAAATTCTACAAGTGGGTAGGAATACAGCAATGACTCTTTATGAGGAAAAAAATCAAGCAAAAGGAAGTGTCCTGGTTTTATTTCTAGGGCTGTGATTAAAAAAAATACCCTGAGAATGGGCAGCTTAGGGGAGAAAGGTTCATTTTAGCTCACAGTTCCAGGTTAGAGTCCATAGCTGTATAGAGGTCACAGTAGGAGCCCGAAATGAGTCACATCCACAATCAAGAGCAGAAAAAAATGAATCTATGAATGCTTAATGCTCACCTAACCTTTTCTACTCTAGTCCAGTTGAGTCCAGGTTCCCAAACTAAGGATTTGTGCCACCTATATTCAGAACGGGTCTTTCCACATCCATCAATGCAACAAGACAATCTCCACAGATGTGTCAACAAACAAATCTGATCTAGAGGATGCTGCATTGAGATGCTCTAGATAGTTGGAACTGAGCATCAGAAGAGATGTCACATGCTACTTTGTATACGAGGACTTCAGGATTATAGAAGCTATTCCCTTCTCATTGTTTGGTAGGATGCTTATAGTCAGAGTTACCACCATTCTTATTCTTTAGTAACTTTGCTGGGTATTAGGTGTACTAATGTTTACCTGTGACACTTTAATGATAATCAGGCCACTTTTCATTCTATTATACCATCTGTCTATCTATCTATCTATCTATCTATCTATCTATCTATCTATCTATCTATCTATCAATCAATCATCTATCATCTATAACCTATATATCTGTCATCCATCATCTATATCTGTCATCTATCATCTATTATCTGTATTCATCTACACATACATAACATGTGCATATATATATATGTGTGTATATATTTTTCATAATCAAATATCAAGTTTATTTCCATTCTCTTCCACTCTAGTTGTAATTGTAGTTAGAAGTTTTCCTGTGTCCTGGCCAGCTGGTGGTCAGTACAAATCTCTCCCACTCACGTCCCCCAAGTAAGCACACAGAAGCTTATATTAAGTATAACTGCTTGGCCATTAGCTCAGGCTTATTACTGACTAGCTCTTACACTTAAATTAACCCATAATTCTTATCTATATTTAGCCATGTGGCTTGGGGTTGTAGTGAATAGATAAAGTAACATTTGTCTAGCATATATATGACCCTGAGTTCTGTCTCTATCATTGCAAAAAATTACCCAACAAAGAAATATAAATATACATGTATATATGGTAGGTGTATCAGATTTCATATATTCTAAAACATATTATTTGAATCTTTCCTTTTAAAGCGGTGTCTGAAGAGGTTTTGCATTCTTAGTGATAGGCACCAGCTGTTCATGTGTTTACATTTTATATTTTATTATCCTGTTTGAACTTTTCCTCTTATCAGCCATGTCTAACCCTCCACTGAATATTTTCTCCCCAGTCTATCTTCTATTTCTCAAATATCTCCTAAGGGTTTTACTTATCCATAGTTGCTGGAATTATTCCACCAGTTTCATAACCCTGACCCCCATTTTTTTTTGATTTTTCCTTTTTTTTAAATAAGAGATTTTCTATTCATTTTACATATCAACCACGAATTCCCCTGTCCTCCCTCCTTCCACCTCCAGCCTTCCCTGACTAACCCACTCCCCATTCCCACCTCCTCCAAGGCAAGGTCTCCCCTGGAGATTCAGCAAAGCCTGGTATATTCAGTTGAGGCAGGTCTAAGCCCCTCCTCCCTGCACCAAGGCTGCACAAAGTGTCTCAGCATAGGCATTAGGTTCCAAAAAAGCCAACTCATGCACTAAGGAAGGTCCTGATCCCACTGCCTGGGGGCCCCCTAAATAGTTCAAGCTAAACAACTGTCTTACTTATCTAGAGGGCCTAGTTCAATACCATGGGGGCTCCTCAGCTATTGGTTCACAGTTCATGTGTTTCCACTAGTTTGGCTAGTTGTCTCTGTATTTTTTTAATCATGGTCTCAATATCTCTTGCTCATGTGATCCCTCCTCTCTCTCATCCATTGGACTCCTGGAGCTCTGCCTGGGCCTTGACCATGGAGCTCTGCATCTGCTTCCATCAGTCACCAGATGAGGGTTCTATCAGGATAGTTAGGGTGTTGGGCCATCACCAGGGTAGGTCAGTTCAGGCACCCTCTTGACCATTGCCAGTAGTCTATTGTGGAGGTATCTTTGTGGATTCCTGGGGATCTCTCTAGCACTCTGATTCTTCCTATTTTCATGGGGTCTTCATTTATCATGGTATCTCTTTCCTTGTTTTCCCACTCTGTTCCTGATCCAGCTAGGACCTCCTGCTCCCCTAAGCTCTCTTTCCCCTGACCCTTGCCCTCCATGAACCCCCCTCACCCCCAGTTTACTCATGTAGATCTCATCCATTTTTTCCATCACTGGGTGATCCCTGTGTCTTTCCTAGGGCCTGATCCCCAGTTTATCTAACACTATTCACTAGTAACTGGTGATGCCCACTAATCTTAGATATTTAAAAGTTCTTTACTGTTTCAAAATTTCCTCCTGACATTCAAGGCCCTTTACAATTTGGTCCCTAACCTGTATTCCAAACCTCATCTCCACCTGTTCCTCCCTCCCCTTCATGTCCTTCAAAGCAACCACCCACTTAATCACCAATCCCTGAACACAAACATAACTAGCTTTCAGTGCCTTATTCTCTCAGATGTGTCCTTCTTGACTCCTTCAAGCCCTTATGTTTCCCAAAGGCTCTTCTCAGATATTGTCTTGTGTATTTCCCTCTATTTTCTCTCGGCTCTGGCCTCATTCTGAGTCATTCCACTCACTGCTGTTAAGGATGTTCGTTCCTCATCCTCTTTGGGTCTTAGTAGCGCCTGTCAATTTCTCTCTTCAGTTGTAAGCCCCTCAAGGAATTCCTCTGAGCAGAAAGGAAGCAAATACGTGAGGCATCCTCCAAACTTGATTACTTTTAAGAATAAAACACTCTGTAATGGGGCATCTGTCGTGTGGTCACATGAAAGTCACTGGCAGTTGGAGCATGTCATGATTGCCAAACAGTAGCACTCACCTGTCTTTCTCTTGCTTTCAGGATTAGGCAAGTGAAGACACTGAAAAATCTGAAGAATGTTTCCAAGGAGTGATCTGGCTGTCACTCACTGGGTTCTAAGGAGCATGAGGAAGCTCTTTCTGGTGTTTTCTCTCCTGCTGTCCCAAGCAGCTCATTTGGAAGGCAGAAAGGACAATCAGTTCATCTGGAAAACAGGTAAGACTGTCCTGGCTGTTCTTTTGTCCCACAGTCATTTAGGAGAATATTCCTTTCATATTTGTGGGGTAGTGGAAAATACCCAGAGAGGACGAATAGACTCTTTAATATACAGCTTACATTAGGTTTATTAAAGACTTGTTTTTATATTTATATATTTGTTTGTTTGTTAACTATTTATTTGTGTGCGTGCGTGCGTGCATGTGTGTGTGTGCGTGCGTGTGTGTGTGCACGTGTGTGTGCGTGTGCACGTGTGTGTGTGCACGTGTGTGTGTGTGTGTGTGTGTATACATGCCTGCAGAGGCCATAAGAGGGTACCAAATTCCCTGGAACTTGAGTTATTGGTGATTATGAGCCGGTCACATGGATGTTGGGAACCAAACTTAGGTCCTCAGCAAAGTACTGTTACCAGCTGAGCCATTTCTGACTCTCCTCACACTAGATTTTAATTCCTGCTTAATTCCATCCATGACAGTGATACTTGTTATCCTTTAGAATTTTTGTGTTGTTGTCAACTACAGTTATCATTTTCACAGTTACATCTACTTCTTCTTTGCCAACTATTTCTCAACAGAGAAACCAAATATGACATCTGAGTGGAGCTGATCTCCTCAGCTGAAAGGCTTTGGACCAATTGTGTATATGTCTTTCTTTCAGGGCTCAAACCAGTTAGCTCTTTTTTGTTAAATAGCCGCCAGTACAGATTATTTACATGTGGGCTTGGGAGCATGAGTAATTACCTAGCTTGGGCTGGAGAGATCATGCAGTGGTAAGAATTCTTCCTGCTCTCACAGAGGACCCAAGTTCAGTCCCCTCTCTCATATCATGTGGCTCACAATCAATTGCAAGGCCAGCTCCAGGGGATCCAACACTTCTTCTGACCCCCAGAGGTACTCACATGCATACATACACACAAAATCTTTTAAAAAGACTTTAAAGTAATTATCTGAACAACTTTCCTTATGGGTGGTGACCACAGAGTCTCTTTACTGTATTTAGAGACCCTTAGCTATCTTGTGTACAGTTCCTTGTACATTTATGTGAAAGAATTGATTTCAGGTTTTCAAGCTTATGTATATCTTATACTCTCTAACTATATCCTTAATTTGCCTGTGTAAAATATGTATTCATTTCCAACCATAATAATTTATTAGCTGAAATTATGAACCCCAAACATACGGTTGTTACTCTCATATGACTCTTTGTATCTCTAATGCTTTCTTTGCTATGGATTTTAATTTTCTTAAAGTTTCACAATCAGATCATTTACAATATTTATTACTATTTCAAGAGTCCATTCTTGCAAGTATAGATAACTTATACACTTAATATCTTGGAAGGGGAATGTGGTGGTGGAAAAGATCTATGGTCCTCAGAGAGTTTTCATTTGGGTCCCATCATCTGTAAATTAAATAGACTGCGAACATATTGTCACCATGGAAATATGTACAAAAGTGATATTCATAATATTTAAATGACTTTGCAAAAATGAAAATGAATTATGTTTTAAAGTATATTAAGTAAAAAATTCCAGTGCCATTAGAGATACAGTCTGGAGAAAACTTAATTGCATTAAAACCTCTATAAATTAATTTAATTGTGGGCTCCAATACTACATTAGTGATTTGTGATCCCCCTCCCACACACACAGTATTGCCAAGCTTTGGAGATAATTTTTAAGTCAATATTGCATTTCTGTAAAGGGTGCTCTATTGTTTAATCACAGGAGTCAAATGTTTTGTGAGGGTGGGTATGTGTGTGGAGGCCAGAGATCAGCTTAATCTCTTATTGGCCTAGAACTCACCAATCAGGGTAGGGTGGCTACTAGCACACTCCAGGTAATCTTCCTGTCTCTGCCTCTCCAATGTTGAGATTGTAAATGTGTGCCACTGTGCCTAGTCTTTCTGGCTTCTGGAGAATCACACTCTTGACCTTGGCAATCACTTCACAAAATGAGCCATCTCCCCAGTCCACGAAAGAGAAACATTTCATCAATTCAAACTTTATCTGGCTACCTTACTGCCTGATGTTCTCTGAGAAATGCAATTAAAATGGAAAGTAGCAAATCTGCAGCATTAATGAGATGTGTTAGGAAAATGAGCTTATTTAGAAGAAAATTTATGTGTGTTTTCTAAAAGTAAGCAATTGAGCTTCTGGAGAGGGAAATCTCTCCAGAAGACACAGGCATTGTTCAAAATAAACATTGAAGTGGATGTTTTCCTTTTTTGCACTGACTACTGCTCCTCTCTTTCTAAGCCAGTGGTTCTCAACTTTGCTAATGCTGCGACCTTGTAATATAGTTCTTTATGTTGTACTGACCCCCAACCATCACATCACTTTTGTTGCTACTTCTTAACTGTAAGTTTTCTACTATCATGAATTATAATATAAATATCTGTGTTTTTTGAAGGTCTTAAGCGACCCCTGTGAAAGGGTTGTCTAACCCCCAAAGATGTGGCGATTAAGAACCCCACAGATTAAGAACCACTGTTCTAAACTAAAGTATTAGCACATGACCATCAACTTCAAAAGCAGAAAAATGTCAACAGTGAAAAATCAAAAGCAAAACTCTAAACCATGTAACCCCCTACCCATCTCTTTTGTACCTTTCAAAAAATGACTTATGTAAATATATATGGATTCATACAACTGAATCTTTACTTTTTTTTGTAGCTAGCCTTCATCATACCTTGATGTCTTGATGAATAGTATATACTAGCTTGTACATGCCAGTCTTATCTTTTAAAGGTTGTGTAGTATCTTTTGTGTTCTTGTTTAATTGCTTGGCATCTCAGTGACTTCTATATTTTGCTATTATACATAATGTTGGTATGGATAAAGTATTATTTTGAAGGTAAGCAATAAGTTGTCTTGAGAAGTCATCACATCTTGTGGAACAATTTGGAGTCATAACCTTTAAAATTGCCTTTAACACTTTGGTTTCTGCTGCACACAACACACACAGGAATTTATTGTATTTCATATGAAAAACTTTTGTTGCTGAAATGAATTACATTTTTACAGTATGTTATCAGATCTATGAATATAGATGAATACAGGTCCAATGTAATCTGGAATTTGAACAAATATTCTGGAGACACAGGTAAACCTGTTTTACACTAGAAACCTGGAAATCACCTTTCTGTTTGGTCGGATGCCATCCACTTAAACTCCTTGCTAATCTCCACTGTTTTCTCCCTAATCGAAAGGTTAAGTGTCAGTTAACTTCATCTAAATTAGAGGCATTCCTAGGTAAGTCTTGGCTTTGGAAACACATTGGACTGATGATAGAGAGGGCCATGCTATGCTGCTAAGGATTGCTGTACTAAGGGAGCCTGGTAAGTTGCAGATTGGAGAGTGACTGATCTGCCAAAGCTTCCTAGCACCTGTCCTCACCATGAGGACATCAGATCAATATTTAGTGTCAGGCAGCCCATCACCCACATCTGAGCAAGAAGGATCCTTCTGTCAGGAGGAACAGATAAGAATTGAATTTGCTTATTGTTTTAAGTTTAAATCTGTAGCTACTTGTAAGCACCTGCTTTGTTAAGGAGGAATGGGCCATAGTCTCTGAAGCCATCAGAAGTACCTACTTCATACATTCTTGGTAGTGGTTTTGAGAAGTGTGTTCATTCCATTAATATTTGCCAAGTCCTATGTTCTGGGCAGTGTTACAAGGGTACAAGATGCATAAACATTGGGAATAAACCAGATCCTCAGTTCTCAGAAACAGCAGTTGGAAAATATGTGATATGGTAAGAAATGGTAAAAAGTAAAGCATGACAGAAAGAAAGGGGTAAATGGTGGAGAAGAGAGCGGAAGCTTTAACAGGCTGTTGTTGGAACACTTCACTGAGGAAGTGGCTCTGTATAGAAGACCGAGGGCTAGTGAAGGCACCAGCCATGGGGATGAGAGAGAGCAGGTACAGATGGCAAGCACAGGGTACTGAGGCAGAAGCACAGGGTGGTGTCATGTAAGGACCAGGGAGCAGCTGGAGATGATAGTCTTCACCTTTAATCCCAGCACTCAGGAGACAAAGACAGGTGGATCTCTGTGGGTTCAAGGCCAGATTGATCTACACAGTGAGTCTCTGGCCAGCCTAGGTGACACAGTGACATCCTGTCTCAAAAAACAAAACAAACAAAAACAGGTCTAGGGAGGAGACCAGCATGCTGGAGCAGACAACACAGCAAGGGGAGGGTGACAGGCACCCAGGACAAGAAGGTAGCAGGATCATGTTAGCCGTGTCCTTATCTGTCACAGCTGTGACTCTGGATGAAACAGAAAGATGTCAGAGTCCACAGAACTATGACATGAGCTGAAATTCTTTCCAGAAAGATTTGAGTGAGATTATGGTGGGAAGACTTGACAAAAGGCAGGTCAGAGACACAGGTTAGGTGGTGCTAAGGACAAAGAGTGGGTATAGCAGCTTGGACCAAGGTCATAGAAGTGAAGCTAGTGTGAGGAGGTTGAATTAAAGATGCAAAAAAGAGCAACTGAGGAATATAAGATGTATTGTGGGTGGATGTGCCTAGGGGCATATATATTTAAGAGCCAGCTTATGTGATTTAAGGACAGTCTCATCTAATCACCAAGTATGATTTCGATGATGACTTGAGACCCCTCTGCTTGTTGCAGATGGAGAGTGTTACCTGCATCCAGGGATATAGCTAAACATCCTAAAATGATCAAGGTAGCACCCACCCCTGAACAAAATATCAGGTCTTAAAACTATCTTTAGGACCTAGGTTGAAAAGTCCTGACTTAAGCTAAAGCCGTTGGAGTGGTGTCATAGTTTTCTGTTGCCATGACAAAACCACATGACCAAGGCAGCTTATAAAAGCAAGCATTGAATCAGGGACTCGTGGTTCCAGAAGGTCAGAGTACATGACCATCATGGTGGGGAAAAATGGCGGCAGGCAGGCAGGCAGGCAGGCATGTGCTGAAGTAGTAGCTGAGAGCTTACACTGATCCAGAAATGTAAGTCACAAAAAACAAGA